AATCTTACAAACCAACCGGAGGCCGTGGGTTAGCTGTACAACTAACTATACGTGGTAATGAAATTCTGCGGTTCCTTATCGCATTTCTACACTGAAATTTCACAACTTTACTTGTAGTTCAGCTTGATTGCATTGTATGTGGTGATGATGTTGGAAAGGAGTATAGAGGGTGTGTCGCATAGAATATGGTGCAGAGAAGTCGCAGAGTGGATTTGCGACGAGCTGTGTCACACCATTTCGTGAGTGTAAGTTCGATTGGAAGGGCTAGCTTTTAACCGATGTCGACGAAAGATGACGATGATTTTGGATAGACCTTGTTGTTATGTGAGCTCAGTGCAACCTATGTCAACTTTTTTGTTAAGCCATTGATTATTGAAAGGACTCATCTTCTTATATTGCATGCATTCGGCTTCGGTGAACGGAATGATCGGTGACCTTGCTTATGGTTATGGTAACTGTCGGACATCTGAATTGAAACCAATGTAATGCGATTTGGCAATAGATGGGCGAGTGAATTGCTTCTGTAGAAATCAGGTAGTAGACAACAATACCGTTTTATCTTTCGGAATGCTTTTCTTAGTAAGCATACCGCCTTCTCTCTGCACACGCTGTATCATTACTTTCTCATTTTTGTGTTCCAGAATACCTGTCACAACCAGCCAACTTCTTCGTGACTTATTGCTTCGCATGCTAGTCCGAAAACCTAGTGATCGTATTGATTTTGGTGAGTCAGTCCTTCCCGCAGTCATTAAATGTTTGGTCTAACGTTCCTTTCCTTTGCTATTATTTTTAATAAAAATTTTCTGGATGATCCGAGTAGTAGCTCGTTTGGTTGTAAGAACTGAACTGTTTGGGTGCTGGTTTCGCGTAAGATGCACGTTATCATCGCACAGATAGAATCTGCGATAAAATGTCTGCGTTNCTCGAAGCAACCTGATTGTCTTTGCGTTTGAATGAATGGCATTCCTTTGAAAATAGCATTTTGGCGTTGTTCCACTGTCTGCATCGTCGTCACCGAAAAGTTTCTCTTTCAGTTGAGTGTTTTTTATGCTTCATTTCCTTTGATTTATTAAGGTTTATTTTTGATACTATGTTGAATTCAGATTTTTTCTGTGGCATGTCTCAGTTCAAACTGAATTGTGACCATTTTCCTCTTTCAGAGAGCTTTTTAAATCATCAGTTTCTTCTTCAACCGCATTTCGAACCAACTGGTAAGTGGATGAATATCACAAGTATTCGCTTCGGTTGGTAGACTGCTTGCCGTCCAGTAAGGCTGTCGAATTGCTGCCTGCTTTTAATGTGTGAACCATTTTGTGTGTGAGGCATTGTGTGAAAATGTATATTTTTTTAAGTGAACATTATTATGCCCTTATTCATCCCTCTTCGTTCTTTTTTATCTCACTTTTTGGAAATAATCTTCCTCGAAACTGTTGTTGGATTCGTGATTGAATTGTACCACTTGACCTGTTCCATGCCATTCGAATCCGATGCCTAATATAGATCCACCAATGTTTATGCCAAGTTAACCCGGTGGAGAAATTCTGATTGCATCGTGCGAGTTGGACTTGTGTTGTTGTCCACTGCACTACATTCCTACCGATCCATTGTCATGTCTGTCGTTTATCATTCGGGTTGTCTTAAACTGGTTCGTCGATAAAGATTTAGCCACATCGGTCTTTCTCGGGGTGGGGATTGGGCAATTATCTTTCTCCAGACAGTCAATGCCAACGGTCGGCTGCCTTTTTCCATCCAGCCAACAGGTTCACCTAAGCTGATTCGCCTCGCCAATGCCATGATTCTTCTTCTCCACCTTTGATCGATTGGTTGATTCTCAACTTGTCTTCCCTTGTTATAGCGATTCTAATCGAACACATCCTAGTTTTGTAGGCAACACCCTCAGACGTGTCACACCCTACTGCCCAAAACTGAACGTCCAGTCTAACCTTAAAGANCACCCATTAACCGTGCACTTTGATGTTATGAGGAGTGTTGTTCCCTTGTATGAAACCCGTTCACAAAATCGACCGCCAGAAAGATACGTATGCTTGGCAGGCGAGCATTCCACTAAGACTGTTATTTCGGTTGTTGCAGAATCTAGGTTAGCGGTTATTATCATCCCAGCTAAGGTGGTCATCTATTCTACTGTGCCTGTAATAAAAACGTACCGGTTGCAGTTCGAAACGATGCTATACACTGTGCTGAAAGTTAGACAGTTTCAATCTTTCTTCTACTGTTATTTCTCTGAATTATTGAGTATAATCCTGCAGGTACAAACCAACGCTGAAGAATAACCATGAAAATGGACGATCACATACAAATACTCCATGAACACGCTCGTATCTCGTTCTCTTTAAAAACCCTGTTTCTAACTCTTATGCACACCTCATAACTCAATTGTTTGTTTGCTTGCCCTCGTCAATCCGTTTACTTCTGTCTCTCACGATTTGGCTGTTTATTTTGTCTGCTGTACGTCTACATACTGAGTCGTTATTTGGTCCCAAACAACGATGATTTGTGTAATCAGTACTTTTTCCAGATCGTACTGAGGTTTTTATTGATGTTTATTTTAATGGAAAATAAGAACACGGCCACCCACGCTTGATGGCAAAGCCTACACGGTCACTGGCTACTGGCACTGATATAATGTGTCATCGGTAGTCACGTGCCGTTCACTGGAATACGGGTGCTTAGTGCCTTCATGCTTGGGNTTGGGAAAGGGAATTGGATGAATAGGACCTGTTTCATGTTCCTCCTAAGTATTTTCATAAGTCGTCTTTTTATGATACAGTTATTCCCCTGTAGTTGTTTCTGTCCCACTCCACCTTTTCTTGATTGCTTCACTTGATCACACCTGGTGTTCCGCTCTCTAATTCTCTCCTCATCCCACAGTCCGTTCAGGTAGGTGAATATTTTGTTTATTTTGTTTCATCTCATTCTCACTGATGTGAGTTGACCCCCCCGGGGCAAGTTCGAGCTGACGGTATGCCGTTAAGTTGATCATGCATTTAGTTGCTTTTGGTGTTTTCATCACATTTTTGTGCTCTGACTGCGATGTGCGCTAACCCTTTCTCGGTCATATTAAATGTGGCCACGTGCAGTTCGCGAGTCAAATCGATGGTGGTAGTCGACCAATTTTTGTCCGATGTGTGCCGAGATTAAGATTATCTACTGTTATTCAACACCAGGCGTTCCGATCTCGTGGTCAGATTGGGTTTCATGGATGAGAGAATATTGCTGAGCAGTACAGCGAGAACCATTTTCTGCAGAGATGAGAATTCATAATTTAGCGGTGATCCAGTATCGTCATCCAAAGTGATTTGTTCCTCATAGTGTGTTTATGGTTAATGTAACCTGTTCGGTATGCGCTTTGTTCGTTACAGTCCTGAATATTGTGTTGTACGGAATTTCTTTTACTCACCTGAATCATCCTGTTGAATGCGAATAGCTATTCGTTTAGCAACACAGTATTTCTATCCTGCTTTTGGACATTAATCGACCCTAATTTGCCTGTATTGCATCCTTTTTCTGTTCCTCCCCGTCGGTTTTGCATCAAACGCTTTACTCGATAACCTGGTATTGACCTTAATATGATGACATTGCATCTTTTTCGATCAACATGCTAGCTCGATGTGTTGCGTATAGGATCGTTTCGTTTATCTTTATAGCTGGTGCCAGGGCTGCTGCTGCTGCTGCTGCTGCAGCCAACACACCCGTTCGATCTCGGCGTGACTTACCGTCTCGCGCGGACAACGGTGGGACTGTAATCGGTACCCTAGGTCTAGGGACAGGTGATGGTCCGTACTATCTAACCGAACGAAATCACGTCAACACACGCGATAAAACTCCTCAGCGCCATCCCACTGTCAATAAGGTAATGTTTCGTTTCACTTTATCTGAATGCAATCTAAGTTTTTTCTACTGTGGTGTATAGTAACCATAGTAACACTTCATAGCGACTGGTCGTAAACCCTACTGTCACTACCAGCAGCTTTAGTTTTCTCGGTTCACCTCACGTGATCCTCTCCTTTTGATTGTGGTCCATCAAGAGAGAAACTGTCAGGCAACCGGTATTAGCCATACCTCTATGTTAAGTATTTCCGATTTCCTAGACCTTTTGATTCAGTCTGAAAAATACCAAATCACATATTGCTCAGACATTCTGCTATGTACCATCAACCCCGTTGTTTTCATTCTCGTTATCGACCTTCTGTCATGTGAAGACGAGTGGGTCACGTGTTACCTCTTCTATTCAGCTTAACCGGTAGACTCACTCAACGACGATGACGGGCTCACATATTGCCTCACTATTCGTTACTCAGATTCCATCTATGATGTTCCTTACCAGTGTGCGAGTTCACACAAACACCGCTTAGGTTAAACCAAAAGAAAATTACGGTTCGATGTTTCTCACGTGAGAATCAGGGGGTTCTTCCTATGACCATGCGGTTCTATTAATTCGTAGTTATGCAGGTGTTAAACAATCTTGATCTTAACGACGTAGCACTGTGCGCATTAGAATACCAAATCTTCTTAGATTGTTTTCGTCATATTGGAATTGTTCTAGTCTGTAAATCTAAATAATAGTATTAATCTTATCCGTTCGCCACATGCTGTTCATGATGAAAGGAAGGCTAACTAGAGCTAAAAAAAACGAAGTGATTTTGAAGCGCGATGTTCAGCTTCGATCACCTGACCTACGTCCAACCATCTTCATCCGCTCCATTATGACTGCCTTTCGCTGGTTATCTTCATCTATTTAGTTCAGTTGTTTTTCATAGACAAGTAAAGTTAATTCTCAAGACGTGATTTATCCCTTGTATTGGTTTTACCGCCAATGGTTTTGGTTTAGTTTTAGGACGTAGTGTTCTCCTGTGAAATTGATATAACTCAAACAATCACCCTGTCGATCGATAAGTTCAAAATCAACAATCAACGTGTCTTGTAGAAGTCGTCTCCTGTTGAAATTCTCCATATCACCGTTTCTTATTTACCCTACCAGCCGATGTCCTAAGATGATTTAAACCAATTGGATAACGTGTAGCTGAATTTAGTAACGGGTGCTTTGGTTCCAGGTTCATCCACCCACACATTTGGCCGGCAGAACGTTTGCCCCATCCTCCGCGTCTCCCGCGTATTTAGACACCCAAACTCCTTCCCCCGGTCTCAATATTGATGATGTTGACGATGAAATGTCTCGAACCACAGTGGATGAGTATTTTGAAGACGAGCTTGACAGTTCAACACTTCCGTTGGAAACCACTCCTCACACTATGGTCAACTATGCTCCAAATGTGCCTGAATCAACCCGCGGGGGTTACAATACAAATGCGCCTCCGGTTCCGTGTAGAGGAAGTTCCGTGGGATGGAAAGCCACAACTGGCAACGCTCACCAGACTCAGACACATGCGGGCTACCCGCGTCCACCCCATATGAGTGGTCGTCCTTCAGCTGAACTGGAAACTGGTGAAAATCATGTTGATGATTTCGTGCTAGTTAACTCCGGAGGTGCAGGTGCGTTCAAATTTGATTTAGATTTATTGATTTAGACTGGAGTTGTGTATTTTGTGCTTTTGTTAGACAGTGGTGATTAAATGAAAGCCCACTCAAGGTTTTCAAATCCATTCGTAAAGTTATCCAATTAGACGCTTTGTTAGTGCTAGCAAATACATTGCTAAAATTACCTCCGTAACCGATCGAGAATTATGCGCGTTATTCCAACTCGCCTATGAATTGAAATTTCCCTTTGTTTATGCCTATTTCTGCAAAAATAACCGTAAGGTCGCTTGGCATCTTCCATGCGCATGCAGAACAGTTTACGCGACACAAAACCTTTTTCATCTAGGTCACATTGCTTAAAAATCAATGCTCACGTATACAGGAGTGATTAAATAGACACCCTTTTTGGTTGAACTATTCCGTTCACGTGATCTAGGGAAATGTACTTCGCAATCATTCTGTTTTTAATGGTTTCTATGCAAACATAACATCGTGTCTGTGATTATGAGGATAGGTTATCGATGTTGCTTTCTCCGGTTCTGCTTCTGCACCGCTCAGAAAGCGGCTGTCTGCTAAGAATTCATATAAAACATGCACCCAACAGTTGTCGGATTTTGGACGGTTGTCTATGACGTCTTATGCACTACATGACAGTCGCAACGAAAGTCAAAGTAAACAATCTAATCAAGTAAAAAATCACTTAAAGTGTATCTGTGAAGATTCTGGTGTTTTAGTTTAATTGATAGACTCTGTGATTTTGAATTTTACCGATTTCGTCTCCACATTATTTATCGATCGGCAAGTGGTTCAAAGCAATTGGAGCTACTTGTGTGTTGTTACCCAGTCAGATGATATCCTCGGCTTATTCCAAGCAAAAAACTGTGCCCCGGGAGTTAAACTCCAGGGTTCGCTATTCCAAACAAAACATTCAGTAGGATATCTATGGCACAATCGGANCTTCATCGGAAACCGCCAAAGAAAAGGAAGAGTTTGCGATTGGCCGTAACCCGAGGTAGGTATGAGGGGCATCGAAACATATTTCTTAGATACTCTATTTCTCAACAAGCAGTTTCATAGTGCTATCGTGTCAGTGGATTCGAAGGCCTCGCGGATATCTAAGAGTGCAATGATCATTGTTCTCTGGTAGGCGCAATGGTTCCCTATCAACTGTCATCGGTGAAAGCTCAACAGATAAATCCGCAACTGGCATAAACCCCAGTCTTTTCCTCGCGAGTCTGCTCCTCCTGCAATCTGCGAAGAATATCAAAGTCAACAGCTTTGACGCTGTCGGGATCAGGCCTACACCTCTATGTCTGGCGCAGTCACTGTACGGGCTCTTTTTAAAGAAGAGGACGCTAATCGCTTCGCCCCACGAGGAGAACTGCTCAGTTTAAAGATCAGAACCACGTGTTCTCTAACAAGCTTTATTCCACCATCTTTAGATAGAGCTGGGGGAAAGCCACCGGAGATAGGCGCTTTGTGACGTCCTAAGGTTCGGATTTTACGGATTTTGGCAGCAGGTGGATTTGTCGAGGTAGGCAGTGGGACATGTGCCGAATTAACTACAGGAGAAGCTTGCACTGGCGACCCGCTAAACTGTTTCTCAAAGTGCTTCGCCCAGTGTACAAGATGTCACTGCTAATTGTGAATGATGAGCCGTACTTTTCACAGATTGTTTCACTCATACCTAGAGTTTCAATTTTTATAACCATCGCCTATGTGCTTTCGTGTGACGGTTTCGGTTGCTGCCTCGGCTGTCCGTTTGGATGAAGGAGTAAATGGAAGGCCGGTATGTTCAAATCAGTGGCAAGGTGAAAATAGGAAATCATTGAAGAGTAAGGTTGGAAGCAAGCTTAACACGACCTACTTGAACAAATCTGGTTAGGGTTTTCATGCCCTCATGCCAGGTCTTAGTTTCACCACCTTTCACTTTTTTCCACCAACTACCTGCCTCAGCGCACGCCGTGGCAACCAACCTAGTGACATGCTTAACACACCCTAGTCAACGTAGTCTATGAAGTTTGACCAGTTGTTCCGGTGAGTAACCACTTATACCTTGAACTGTGCGCCTAACCTCAGCACTGCTCGTCTGGTTGTTCCACCAGACTTGTACAATGCTACGTAGTCCAAGGTGTTCGAACACCGAAAGTCGAAGTTTACTGATAATATGTTGAATGTGAGAGGTCCAATGAATACTAGCATCGGTATTTAATACAACTTGCCTTGAATACTGGTTCAGAACCAAAGGATACCGGTTCAGGTGGGAATGAAGAACGTGATAACGTAAAGAGATTCGAAAAATTTGGGGGGGGGGGGGATTAAAAGAGAGGTTGGATGTGGCAGAAAATTGTTTTCCAGGTTGTCAGAAAAATACGAAGAACTTAAGGAATCGGTAATGGCCTGAGGTAAAACGTCGTCCACGTATTTGAAGAGAGAAGCGTTAGCAGACAAATGCTAATATACGCAGAAAATAAGTCTGAGGAAAGGACTGCACCTTGGAGTACCCTAGAATTGTTCACCAACGGTTTGGAATTCCTCCGACCTGGCCTGGTAGGTTGAGTTCTCTCGGAGAAGTAATCAGCAAGCTTAGCTAATAAAGACCTGGTATAACCGAAGGTCTCCAGTTGACGAAGAAGAAGCGAACGAGGAATAGAATCAAAAGCAGATGAGTAGTCCAGCAACACAATTATTCGTAGAAACATTCAAGGATTTTTTATTTTTCTGTACAAGTGAGGAAACTGCGTCTAGCTTGCATCTGTTTGGTTTGCAGGCAAATTGAAGAGGATCATAAGGTACATCAAGTGAGGACTAACTGCGCGTAACGCCCACACGTTCTGCTACTTTAAGGCCAACAGAAGTTAAAGCAATGTAACCGAAGCGTTTGGTTAGCACGGTTGAAGCAGAGGGTTTGGTAATGGGAACAGTTGTTACCGGTCTCCAACAGTCTGGTATGTTAGAGAAATGTTTGAATATGATGCTCCTGTTTCACTGAGAGAATAGACCTCACATATCAGAAGTAAAGATGAAAAACCATTGGGACTAAAACTGCATGTGCTTTTCACGCTACGCAAAAGCTCTTCTTTCAAAACGGCCTCATGAATGACATCATCCGGAACAAATGGCGTGACGACATCTTTTGATGGGTTAATGAAAGCTGCATTAACACTGTCCAAATCCGTAGTACAATCCGGAGCTTTGGCTTTGGTCCCGCACAGTAATTCGATTTCTTGCCAAATTCGCTTACTATTGTTACATTGCAGAAGCTGGGGGGNCGTACGACTCTGATAGGTGCTTGACTTCATCTTTGAACAGGTTAGTTTAATACTCGACATCCATTGAGTCTCTAGATTTGTACGATCGTTCCTTCCGCTTTCTGAATGGTTTCAACAATGTGATGAGCAGGAGAAAAACCATGACAAAACGACACTAATAGAACGCTTAAGAAGAAGAGTGTATCTGGGAGGGAGATTGCGTAGGCTAATAGCGTTTTGGGTGGGTTCTTGTGAGTGTATTTTAAATATGACGGTAGTACACTGTGGGTCTTATGGGAATCAAGGTGTGATCACTAGTGGAAACAGATGCTGTGAGTTTTAGGGCAAAACGTTCTAGGTGATTAGTAATTAACTTGTCTAAAAATGACTCACCTGTTGTAGGTGATAGGCAAATATCTGGTATCAGAGGGAGAAAATGTAGCGCAACCAATCGAAGGGTACGCCAGTGAAGTTATCATACAAAGGCCCAGAAGACTAAATTTCTCCATTAGCCTTATTTTTTCCGCAGCCAGAGTAGCAACATTTTACAGTTTGAAAGTGCGAAACGCCAAACATGGTTACACTAGCACTCAAACTAACCATTTATGCTTGCAACTTACCTCAATCTTCGATACTGTGTCGTTTGCATACTCCAGACCGGACAGTTTTTCACCTCGGAGGAGATCGACATTCCGCGCGAGAACAGAGCTGTTTACAGAATCAAATCCATTACAGAGTTGAGTAAAAAGGAAAGAGGAGGCAACCTTGATTAACCCCACTTTCCGTGATGAACTCAAACGAAAAGGGTCGATATCTTGAACTTGGCTTTGGTCATTAGTGTAAAGGGATAACAGTATTGAAATAAACTTCTCTGACCTAACACGAAAGAGGAAACAGTGTCAGAATACACAGCAATTGGCTGAATGGACGGCCACTTTTACATCAAGGAAAGAAGAAACTCGGCCTAGCGAAGGAAGACGTGTTCCAGAATTTGCCAGATTGAAAATATGGTCGAGGCTTCCTTGACCAGATCTAAAGCCATCTGGTTCTCTTGCGCGCACCGTTCACGTGCGGCAGACAATAGACGGTATATACTGTTAGAGAGAAATTTGGATTTGATGTTGAATGCACTAACTCTTCTGGTTTCCGCAAGGCGGATGTTTTCTTTCTTATAGTTCAGTGGAATGATCTATTCAATCCATTCTGTTGCAGTATATTCACTTTCCCACGTCATCTGCAGGACCAAAGCTGACCCTCATCTTTAAACCTGATGCAGATGACCTGTCTGGGTCAACGGCTTTATACGTTTTGGGAGAACTTATTTTCCCGGGGAACCTCCAACTCGGACTCTAATGCCTACTTTCCTTGATCCTGTACCCCTAATTAGACAGAAAAGTTGTCTGGAAGGTCAATAGCTATAGGTCAGACAAAGTCCAGTCTCCTGGTTCTCCGGGTTGGGAGTTCGACTCAAGTTGGCTTCTTTGTCGGTAAAAAGTGTTGTAGGAGTAATTGATCCAAGTTACTGGCCCCCCACTCCGCCTTAACCACCGCCTTGCGGTTAAATTCTTGTCAGAACTAAAGGCTTTGGTTGAGAACCCTAATCATTTTCCGGCTTAGTGGCTGGACACCCCGTCCGTAAAACTTCAACGAACACAAACTAACAATAATTCCATACTGCATCGGTCGTCGCGCAGGATAATCATTGCATCGAGCGGGGAGGGTAGTGATAACTGCTACTGCTCAGACATCTCAACCTTTGTGTAA